ATTGAGGGAAATAGATTGTTCATGAACATAACACTACATAGGTCTAGGACTTGCAATATTGGCTGAGCACTAGAGAAGAAGCCTGGGGTGTATAAATACCATGGAGAGTGAGAAGCTCAGCAATAGAACAGTCATTGCTTATTCTACCTCTTGTTTTGTAAAGTATTTCTACTATTTGAAAATTTTTTTGAATTTTTTTTCTTGCCTGACAAAATGCTTCTAAGTTCAGCACCACTTTTGCCTCTTCCATGATCATGACCAATTCTTTAAGTCCCATAACAGGAAATAATTGCACCTTTTCCCCCCAAAAAAGCAACTATATTTACTGAGATCATAAAATGTAAAAACTTATTGAGAAATGTGAAGTAAAGGGACTGACACTATGTTCATAAATCATCTTATTTAATGTTGTATTATTTCCATGAGATTTCTAGTGTTATTCTCAAATGAAGACACATATGCTAGATGTTGAACACCTTACCCTAACACACTGGTAGAAAGTGGCAAAGACAGTTAGAAATTTAGTTTGTTTAAAATCCATAATTTTTATTGCATCTAGTTTAGTTCTCTGGCCTCTATTGCAATTGCATCTCAAAAATGGAGACAAAGACACACGCACACATACGTGTATTGCAGCACTGTTCACAATAGCAAAGATTTGGAAACAACCCAAATGCCCATCAAAGATAGACAGGATAAAGAAAATGTGGCACATATACACCATGGAGTACTATGCAGCCACAAAAAAGGATGAGTTCATGTCCTTTGCAGGGACATGGACGAAGCTGAAAACCATCATTCTCAGCAAAGTAACACAAAAAACACAAACACCGCATGTTCTCATAAAAGTGGGAGTTGAACAAAAACACATGGACACAAGTAGGGGAACATCACACACCAGGGTCTGTTGGGGGATAGGAGGGATAGGGGAAGGGCAGCATTATGAGAAATACCTAATATAGATGACTGGTTGATGATGGGGTGCAGGCAAACCACCATGTCATGTGTATACCTATGTAAGAAACCTGTACATTCTGCACATGTATCCCAGAACTTATAATAAAAAAATGGAGACAAACAAAGCTCTTTAGTTATCAAAATAGAAATGCTAATGAGTACTGATAATAACTTTGTCTTTTAGTATGTTTTTTCAATGAAGAGATTACTTTGTAAGACAGTTTTTATTATTTGCAACAAGTTTTCTTGACACTGCTTTTCATCCATCAAGAAGTAGCATATCACTGAATAAAAAGGTAGAATAGAGGACAGTTTTGGTTCACAACTTTTATATACACACCCCCTGGGAAGCCTCAGAGGTACTGCCAGAGTCCATAAATCTATATGTGGATTTTGAATTGTTTGAAAGTTGAATAATGTGTCTTATGGAAGCATATTAATTTGCATGTAGTCTTTAGAATGTATAAAACTAATATTCCCAGTTAAGAAATAGTTTACTAAATTCAGTCATTTTTTCACCTTGAGTATTTTTTAACTAAATGAATAATTAAATAACTGAAAACACAGAGATAATCAATTATTTTATTTTAGAAAGTGGTTTTAGTGCTGATAAAGATTGGGAACTCCTAAAATTTTTTCTTTTGGCTCCACGTAGTTTTCAGAAGTAAACTAAATTTACTTTTGCACTGCACTGCATTTCTCTCTCTCTGGAAACATTTTGAAGTACATGGTGGATTTAATCCCATTAATCTTTGGAAATATGATGAGTGGTTCCGTTTCTGATTTTCATAATCAGCTGGCCTAGCTCTAAGATATTATTGCCTTATAGGGACATCTGCTGGTAGATAAATAAAGATCTGCAACAATAAAATACTGTCTTCTGAGTATTTCCCAGGGCATCCCTCTGAGGCTGTAGGCTCACATGCATCTGTTTCAGATAGTGAATGGCTATTAAAGTTCTAAATATTGTATCATTTCACAGTCTAATCCTTCTCAGGTCACATAAAACTTGCCTTCATTTTATACATACATATGTGTATATATATATATACTTTCTTCTGACAACAGATTCACACATGTATTAACTTAAAAAAAAAAATGACCACATATTATCCTGGAAACCTCAGGCTTTCTGGAAGCCTATGTAATCTGGGGCAGACGGCATGAGAATTGCAGCACTTGGAGTACACAGACTCCCCACAATAAGCTAGCGCATGTTCTGTTACCTGCCTTGGCTGTCCAGATACGCCTGATTGTCTGAAAAGAAAAAAAGAAAAAGCCACTTTATCCATTCCCAAATTGCAAAAACAAAAGTAAAATAAATTTAATAATGTTAACTAATTAACATTAAGGCCTTTAAATTTTTTACAAAGAAAAATTTATCATTTCAACTCTATCATTAAGTTGAAATACTCGTCTTTCACTCAGCTACACACTATTTTTCAGTAATAATTAGCTGCACTAATTAACTACCACCAATTACTTTAAAAAGGACTACTTGGTGAAAGTAAAGCAACCAGTAGTACTATTTCTACTAACCTCAAACATCACCAGGAGGATGAAATAATTTATTTTCTTTTGGTGTTTTATGAACAAAGATTACCTTCATACTCCATCTTTGGAAAAGCAGCACTGTATTAAATCACATATTGTAGACTTAAAATTAAATTGCCCATAAATGTCAATATTGCCAACAGTACAGTGTAGTAACTTATTCATGCCACTTCTTTAAACTCACCACACATTAATGTGCTAATGTAATGGAAAATAAAGAATCATCATGTGCCTTCCAAGTATTGCTTTCCCTATTGTTTATATATGTATTTTGTAAGTGCCTAGAAGACTCTTTCATCAGCTAAAGGCATGTCTTGCCAAAAGAAACAACATAATCATTAAATAATTACAACTAAATAATAGCAGTGCACATTTTGACAGGTTAGCACACATTCTGTTAAGATTTGGAAACTTGAGAAAGAGAATAATAAAGCTACTACTCTCGCAAAATCCTCAAATGCCAATATAGAAAATAAACTCTTCAAGGATTTTAACCAACCATGTGTTTTTCTTTTTCCTCTTGCCCTCACTGTATAAAAGCAAAAAATATAAAGTTGAATTAACATTCTAAACTAATTCAGTAATCAACTTATTTTTTACCAATTTTATCAAATTATAAATCAGAGTCTACCCACATTCACAGTTCCAAAATGCTGAAATCATCATTTTGGGCTCTTTTTTTCTTTATCAATGAAGCAGCAAGATACATATGGGCTCAGATATAAAAAGAATGAGGAAAACCAAGAAAGGAAAATTGGTATTTCAAGCGTAATCTAGTTTGTTAAAAATTCAAAAGCAAAAACACAAAGACGTGCCTGAAATGGCATATTACCAAAATAGTCTCTGAAGAGCTTCTCAATTTAACTGAAAAAAATGATTAATAAAAAATGAAATGATCTATTTTATAATTTTTTACAAAATAATTCCAATACTATAAGGGTCTCATTGTTTTCAATTACCTCATACATATTTCACCAAAATTCTTCAGAAAAGAAAATCAAAATTAGGGAGTGCTTTCTAAACCCTGTCCTTTAGCAAGTAAATACGATGTCAATTAAAGAAGTGTTCTCCACCCTTGTAGGTACTGAACTATACACAAGTAGACACTACAGAGTGTTAAACCCCGTACAATGAAGCCAGAGAAAGAATCACTGCATGTCAAGCGGCATGCATTTAAGTACAGAATAGCTAGTTGTTGGAGTTTTTCTTATAGTTTACTTATTATAGCTTGGAAAAAATATTTCCTTAATTCTATTATTATAAAATTTCACTTGCAAAGACATAAAGTTGGCCAGTTTGCTACTGCTAGAGTAATGAGTAAAGAGAATTGGCGTATCAAACTAAACACTGGGCAAACACAAAACATTGGAAATCAATTACAATATAATAAAAGCAGTAAGTCATTTAAGATATTTTGTTCCTAAGACTTGACATGGAATGATACATTTTTTTAAATGACTATATTTTCCTTGTGGGAGAAAAATGAATCATTACTTAGCATACGCCAAAAGAGAATCTAAAAGAAAGGAATGTTAACATCAGAAGATGAAATGAGATCCATACATTAAAGAGTGATATTAGTATTGCAAACAACAAAAAATTGTAGAAAAATTTAAATTACTTACCTTTCTAGTTCAGTTCAAATGTCCTACAGCTAATTATCATGAGATATTGCCTGGAAATTAACCAGTCATGTTGTGTTCCTATCTCCAGATTTACAATTAGTAATGCTATTAATGCGGTTCCTGTACTTAGCGTTACTAATTATATTGCTATGAACTAATGGTGTTAAAAATAGCAATAGCCGTCAACTACCAATTAATGCTTAATGAGAGCATATAAACCCTGGCATTGTAATGAATTTCAAAATTATTGTTGCTTGTATTCCTTTTGTAATCATGCAAAAATGGGTGTAACCAGTAACCACTGAAGTAGGGTATTGATCGAAAGCATAGCTGCCACATCATTGCAGGAAAATCAAGAGAAGAAATAAATGGCTTCTTCAAGGAGTACATATGTTTCTTTTTAATCTTAGAATTCAACACACAGATTTTGGGGAAGATTCTTTTCTAGTTACGCGATATAAACACACAACTGAAGCATTAATCATAAAGATGTCATTTCAAACCTGTGAATAAAACAGGATATGTTTTTAAAATTTGGAAGATGAATTTTTATGAAAGAACCAGTCAACAAATCATTTATCCTAGAATTTACATACGGCACAATATCTCAGAAATCAGAGGTAAGGTAGGGATACTCCATTACCTCAGTTAGGCTAGGTTATGCTACAGTAACAAATACCCACCAATAGCTCAACATACAAAAGTTTATTTCTTGCTTACATTATATGTTTGGCATTGTCACCTAGGGACTAATGCTTACTACAATTACTCAGGAACCCAGGCTGAAAGAGATTCCATCTTGTCATGTGTTTTCCTTACCTGCAGAGGGAACTGTGAAAAATATTTGCTGTCTATTACTTCTATCCAAAAGTGACTTATATTACTTTAGGTGACATTTCATTGAAAGAAAAAGTCATATGCTTATGTCTAAGTTCAAACTGATGGAGAATGACAGCCAGAAAGAGAATAACTAGGATACTAAGAAACAACTATATATGTTTTAGTACTTTGGCGCTGTTTTAATGACCAACACAAGAAGATTTGTCTAAAATGGAAAACTTCACTGGGGAACTGCCTAGGGGCGAGGGAATATTGAATACCAATACGTCTCTTTGAGTCTCTGGAAATGTGTTCTTTGGCCTTGTCACTAAAAAGCCATTTCCTACAATGGCCTATGGTATTTTCCTAGTAGTACACAGAACTGTGGTATTTATCTTTTCAACTTCAAAATTGTAGTTTCTTAACAGTAGCCTTTTCAACCTTTGATCCCAGTCAAAACTATAGTGAATTTCAGAAATAGTAAAGAGTAGAAGTCACCATAAAATGGGGTAAGAAAAGGAGTAGCTTAGCCAGTAAAATGGCTAATGAGGTGAGCATGTTATGTGTATGTGTTAGTGTTTTGTCAAACCAGCACAAAAATATACTTAAGAACTCCATACTAATTATGCCAATTAGATACTAAAGAAGTGTTATAAATAAGAATATACCACCGCTAAATATGACTGTGATGAAGTTCAGCAGATGGCACCCCATAATATACCCAAAATATACAGTTGTAGCATACTGACTATTTTGAGGTTGAGGCATTTTGAAAAACAGCAAATGGAAGGAGAGTGTTTCTTAGAACTCCCTTTGCCTTCCTAAAGACAGATCCTCCAAAAGAAACTCAATTGTCATAAACCATCTTCCCAGGAGTTTCATCAACTACGAAGACTAACTCTTATTACAGAAGCAGAAACTAGAAGTTAACGCCACACTAACAAACTTTGAATCTATCATTATCTCTCATCTATTCTTCTAAGAACCCATTCATCTTTCCTCAAATCATTTATTCTTTCCTAAGTAACCAACATGTCTCTTCCCTTTTCCTATTAAGATGGTATGTGAACTCTCAAATGGTTTTGGGGGATTTTAGGTTTTTTTTGTAATTCCCTTGTGCACATATTAAAAATTAATAAAACTGTATGCCTTTTTCTTATTAATCTGCCTGCTTTCAGTTTTTGCTTTTTGTTTTGTTTGTACACCGAGCTACCAAACCTAGGATGATAAAGTCTTTATTTCCCTGCAAAAGACTGAAAAAAAGACATTAAAGAAGACTCACAAGTCTTAACTACAATTCTTACAAATCTACACTTTACTGAATGAGAAGGATAAAATATAGCATCAGCATTATAGTAAGAATGTGCACCATAGCCAAAGGCTGTCTTACCGCAAGGAGTCCATAGTGGTCTGATGCAGGCTCCAATTGTCCTCCTTTCTGCAAGGCCATACTGGATGCACTTTCTTGCTTGCATCAGTGACATCCAACATGTGCATGGAACACCTAGAAAACAGGGGCTCAAAATAAAGTCTTGGTTAGGTCTTATCATGTTCCACTGATACAAAGGGTCATCACTGTTATGTGACTTGCCATAATGGCGGAACCCACTGGAATCACACTTAGACAGGGTATAAACTATCAATCTTGCTGTTACTAACAGCCTCTACTGACAAGCTGGACCAAACTGTTCTGAAACTTGTCTGATAACCATGGTTATAAAATTATACTACTAATCATGTTTTTTTTTTCATCCCAAGTTCAAGGCTCAGTATCAGTAAGGTATATCTCTTATAAAACAGCTTAGGACAATCCCAAAACAGAAGTAGCTCTCATAGCACAACATCCAAATAGGTTTCACAAAATGCTAAGCATATGAACTTAGAAGGACACCTGTAGTGTTAATACAGCAATTCAAAATATGGCTGTATTTGTTCATCAAAGGATGAACATACCTCTGGGCAAGGGACATATCTGAATTATCTGAAGTTATTTTCAAATTGCATCCCACCCTACACCCCCAATTCAGTGTCCTCTGAAATTTAATGATTGTTGTTGTGCTGAGGCACTGAAACTGAGGCTGGTATGTTTTAGGATTGCTTGCTGTTCTAGTTACTATTCCGTATGTAGCATGTTGCCTCACAACTTAGAAACTTAAAACAACTACTATATTTTATTAGACTTGCTGAATTTATGCTTCAAGAATCTGGAAAGAGTTCATCATGGTGGAGTGTCTACTCCATTATGTTTGGGGCCTCAGCTGGAAGGACCTGAAGGCTGGGGGCTGGAATCTTCTCAAAGACTCCATCAATCACATATCTGATAGTTTATGCTGGTTGCCAGCAAGGACCTCAGCTATGCTCAGCCAGAACACCTACACAGAACACCAACACCTCTCTTTGTGGTCACTTCATAGCAGGCAGCCTTGCATTTCTTACATGGTGCTCAGGGCTCCAAACTTGAGTGCCAAATAGACAGGAAGTAGAAATGTTAGGGTTTTTTTTAAGTTCTAGAAACTAGTCCAGCATAACTTCTATGCTCAATTGGTCAAGCAGTCTCAGGGCCCAAATTCCAGAGGCGGTTCAGGATGTAGATCCCACACCTCAATAGGGGGAGTATAAAAGAATTTTGGGGCTATGTTTTAAAACTGTGACATCTGCCTACAATAAAATGTTTTCAATGTTTGGCTTCAGTCTTCAACTTATATTTTGTTTTGCTAGATACCCAGTATAAGACCAGAATGCTTGCTTTTTTGGAAGTTTACAATTAAAATTCACCCAAGCAGGCTTAAAAAAAAATCTGTTGAGTATTAAGATTGGGCAATTAACAGAAGGTATGGCTAATTCTACTACAGGTTCTTGAGAACAGTTACTGAAAACTGCTGCAACAAGATTGGAAATCCATTTTTGTAATTCATATGCAACCCTAACTACTGAAAACCATTATTTAATTTATGTAAATTTTATTCTAGAGAAAGGACACAAAAGTTAAGTGATCATAAATTGAATTCGCCTGTCTAATAGAGCATTCATAGACAAGGGTCAAAAAGATGATAGATACTCATTTTGTGATTAAGTTTATTTTAAAAAGCAAAAAAGTATCAGTGCTCATCATATTTTGTTATTGTATATGATCAAGTAATTGTGTCCCATCATAAAATTTGCTACATTAAAGATAAAAATTTTTATTTAATGTAACTAAAGCTATAGGTTATGGCCTTTGATTATATTTTGAAAATTTGCCGACACTGAAACTTTTAACAGCTGGGAAAGAAGACACGGTAGTTTGAAAGAGAATGATAACATATGTATTGACTCCATCATTGTAAGCTATGTATATCTAACTTGCTATAAAAATCCATTTCAATTGAAGAATTAAAATAACAAATTGATTACCCTTATATCCAAAATACTTTCATTTAAATTTCAAAATTCAAAGTATATATCCAATATGATTACACTAATTGATATTCTAGACAAACTCCATTGAAAATAAGCATAGGAAATGATAATTACATTTTTTCTGGTTCTTACATAGAGCTAACTTTAAAATTGAGATTTGAGTTATTTTTCCCAACTATTATTTTTATGTGGAAGTCTGATTCCATTCCTGAATAAGAGGAGAGTTTCTTGAGCATGATATTTGTCTCATTGACTTCCAGGATTTAGTCCAATGAACTCATTGGTTAGGAGTTGTTCCCTTTATTTCCCCACGTTTTGTTCATTGTATTCAACTTTTGGCAGTTGGTTGATGAATTATTCTGCCCAGATAGGAATCCCTGCTTTTTAGACAAGGGTACATATGTGGCTGGTCTAGAGGTGTTTCTTTGTTTTGTTAGGTTTTGAGACACAGTCTCACTCTGTCACCCAGGTTGGAGTGCAGTGGCACAATCTTGGCTCACTGCAACCTCTGCCTCCATGGTTCAAGCAGTCCTCCTGCCTCAGCAGGGACTACAGGTGCAGGCCACCATGCCTGGCTAATTTTTTGTATTTTTAGTAGAGATGGGGTTTCACCATGTTAGCCAGGATGGTCTCGATCTCCTGACCTTGTGATCCGCCTGCCTTGGCCTTCCAAAGTGCTGGGATTACAGGTGTGAGCCACCATGCCCAGCCTTATTTTTTCTTATATTGAATTGTGAATTCTTCAAGACAGAAGAAAATTACATGCTCTTATACAAAATATTGATGATTATACAATAGTATGCTAATTAGCTATGTGCCTCTAACTTAAAACACCAAATCTTGAAAATGAGAGAAAAAAATCTATTTACATAAGCAAACAAAAATATATAAATAATCAGAGGAAATTTCACAAAGCAATGTATAGGATCTATTTCTTAAAGCTGTAAAATTTTATTAAAGAACATAATGTTTCTTAATGAGAATATATCATATTTTAAAAGATATATATGTTCCACACAAAATTATATCAAAGTTAATAGGATTATATTAAAGTTCACAGTGAAAAATAAAAGCACAGACAAATAAAAGACAGTTTTTCAAGATGGACCTTACCAAATACCGAAACCTACCATGAGGCCAGTGTAACAAAATAATAGTTATAAGCACCTGAGTAGAAAAATAACCCACTGGAACAGATTCAGAGATCCCTAAACAGAAAATAATGTTTAGAAAAACACTAAATAACATAGACGGCATTCTGTTTCAAGATTCTTATAGCTGTATATTCATATTAGAACGTCTACCAGATACCATAAAAATAACTCCAAATAGAATAAAGTTCTAAAGCTTAGAGAACAAATTAGAAAAATTTGTTCCTGGTATTTTTCTAATACCAGGAAATTATTTGATCTTAGAGTAAAGAGGATATTCTTAAAGCAAACAATGAAACTCAATAAAATCAATCTCAATGAAAAATGATAATAAAAAAGATAAATATACATAACTATATAAGAACTAAACTGCATGTTACAACAAACACCATAAATAAAAATATCTGCAACACATCTGATAAAAGGTTAATAGCTATAAAGTTATTAACTGCTTACATACTGATAAGGAAACAATTCACAGAAGAAGAAATACACATGCACAATAAGCATAAAATAAGATACTCAACCTCACTAGTAGTCAGGAAAAAAAACATATTTTAAACAACACAAAGTATAAAGAATCATTGAATTAACAAAAATTAAAAGAACTAAAATAACCAGTATTAGTGAATATAACTAGTAGGGGCATAAATTCTTAAAACTTTTAAAAAATAATATAGCATTATAAATGAAAACAAGACATATACACATTAATTGACCCAGCAGTATCACTTGTGGAAATCTACAATACAGAAATAAAAGTGCTGCCAATATGTAAGGATACATGGAGGTAGGTACTTATTGGAGCTTTCCTTGAGCATCACAAATATTGGAAAATAACAATGACAAATTATGCCCACTTGTAGAAGATTGGTGAAATATCTTCCAGGAAGTCTACACTATGAAATGTTATGTAGTTATATGAAAGAAAGTCAGAGCTCTGTATATTGACTGACAAGGGCATCCATGATATATTAAATTAAAAAGTCAGCTTCACACTAATTTTTCTACTGGAATCCTGTATCTGTTTAATCAGAGCAAAAGAAAAGGGAGAGAGACAAAAAGAGAGGTGAGAGAAAGAGAGGAAAGAGAAAGAGAGAAAGAAAACATGTAAGGATAAGGTTTGTATAAAAAGGATATGGAAAGATCTCAAAAGGTTAGTTATATCTGAGGCGTGGAATTTGGGGCTAATAGAACAGGAGGGAATAGTTAGCAATTTTTTCATTATCTTTTAGTTATTTGACCATTTGTAATTTAAAAATCTCAAAAGAGACAGATGGCCTTGAATTCATTTTTAAAAGCAGGTCCTACTTTACCTATAAAAATACACATAAGCTGAAAGTGAAGGGGTGGGAAAAGATATATCATGCAACTGGAAACCAAAAAAGAACAGGAGTAGCTATAATTGTATCAGATAAAATGAACTACATAGCAAAAACTCTAAAAAGACACAAAATGTCACTATATAGGGATAAAGGGGTCACTTCAATAGGAAAATATGATAATTATAAATATCTGTGCACCCAACACTGGAGCTCCCAACTATATAAAGCAAACATTAGTAGATCTAAAGGGAAAGATAGACAGCAATACTATAATAGTAGGGGACTTTAACACCCCACTTGCAATAATGAACAGATTATCCAGACAGAAAAACAACAAAAAAAGTTGGAATTTAACTACACATGAGATCTGATAGACCTTACTGACATTTATAAAACATTTCACCCAACTGCCACAAAATTCACATTTTCTTCAACAACACGTGAAAGAAAGGTTCTCCAGAATAGATATTATCTTAGGTCACAAAACAAGTCCGAACAAATTCAAAAAGGTAGCAATCATATTAAGTATCTTTTCTGAACACAATGAAATGAAACTAGAAATCAGTAACAAAAAGAACCTCAAAAACTTGACAAACACATGAAAATCAAACAACATACTTCTGAGTGAC